CCTCCATCAGGTCCTCTGCTAAAGGCCTGCAAGTAAGTTATTCAAAGCTAGAGTTGACAAAGAAATTGAGTGAATGAATAATTCTTGGTTTTTTTTGTGAAAAATGTCTAAAACGCCAAAGTCTAAATGTTGCTTTACACATTATTGTCATGCTTATTTCTGCTCTGCTGTGATCGATAAATGAGCTGACAGCAGCTTGAAGGGTAACCAGTAATGCATGCGCCGTCCTTAATACAGTACTAATCCAGTAAGATCAGAGGTGATAAGGTGTGTGTGCACAGGCACACGTTTTTAAGCATTCCAGTGAAAAATACAAAAAAATGGCATGTTCTGCTATTAATGTTTGACCCCACTTTTGTTATGAGTTTTTTTAAAAAGTATTTGGATTAAATGAAAAATAAATATAGACTACAGTGTGCTAACTTTGTGCGTCACTGTGTGTGGTGTGACATTGTGCATCGGGCATGTCTGCGTGCACAATAGATAAGAGTGTAAAGAAGGTATTTACAGTTGTTATTTCTGGTTTTTGAACGGGATTGTGTTGCACATTCGTCTGCCCTTCTGCTGCTTTATAAAATGTGTCCTTGATCTGTGGGGAATGCAAACAAAGTGAGCAGTGTAATACTTAAGCCCCAGCTGTACGTCAGCACCGAGCTCCGGGTGGGCAACAGGCCTAGACCCTGTGGAGCCCTGCTGCGTGTTGTGGGATCTGCCAAAGACGTGTAAACTGCATCAGGCTGTCTAATTGAATAGAATAGCAGCAAAGGGAAGGTTTTGCTTTGTTTTGGTTTTTTGCACTCTTGTGTCAATCACAGCACATGGGTGAGAGATCACCTTCATGACAACAAGAACTGATTGTGTTGCCTGGCCACTGTTGTAGCTACTGTTTTGTTTTGCAAATCAACTTCGTCCTTTTTGTGTGTGTGTGTGTGTTTTGTAGTTTTGCAATTTTTGCATGATTTGAAAATTTTGTGTACTGGTGTGATTCTTAATTCTCTTATTTCAGACTCAAAGCCATGCCTCTGCACTTGTAAATGAAATCTTTTCCACTGTGCATCTGATCGAGGTGGTTTGTATTTGCAGAGAGAACCTGGGCCAGTGGGAGAAAATAGCAAGGGGAGAGGTGGAGGACATCGTGCCCAGCCGGCCTTGTGATTCGGGCCCTGTTAAGGTGGACAACTGACAGACAAAGGAGGGTTGCTTGCTCACCAAAGGAACACAGCCTGAATCCTGCCGTTGACCCAGACCATTGAAGGGGAATGAACCCGCAATCTGTGTTGGCAGGAGACGGATTAGATAAAGGCGACTTGACTTTCAAAACACACACACACAGTTACCTCATCGGGTGACGGAGGTGTCAACACTGACGGTTTCACCGATCCCAGAGAGTGACAGACAGTTGTTGGTGAGGGAATTCAATCCATCGCCCTACGTCCACTCAGCTTGGGAATTCACTTGGTAGAACAGACTTGGTTGCTTTATTTTGGCTGTATTATGTTATTTTATTATTTTTCTTCATATGAGCTGATTCCATTATGGTCTTGTATTTGCAGAGGCCTTATTCTGAACCTTTCACAGGCTAGGATATGTGAAATCTTGTTGTCAGTTCAGGCTTTTTTTTTCCTTTCTTTTTTTAAAACGGTACTGTTTGCCTTCTGTGTTTGCCGTATGCGCACTACTTCAGCAAGGTATTCCCAGAGACAGAAGGAATGTGTGGAGCAGATGTAGGGGTGTAATGCCATCTCATTGAGAAGGTGGACACTAGATTTTTTTTTATTACTTTTTCAGCAAAAATCCTTTGCAGTACTTGAATAAAGACATACAGCCTATTCTGCGAGGAGATGGCAGAAATCCCCTGCAGTGTATGCTACAAGCGTGAATGAACTGTGATGAGTTACATAATGCCGACATTTGTGAATACAGTCACAAGAGAGTCACAATGTTTCCTGAAGTGGACCCCGCAGCCTTTTAGCCCCAAGCGTGTAGAAACCTGCTGCACAGTACATCAACATCCTTCGGATTAACAGGATCTGACCCCAGATCAGCAGTCACTGTTTGTAGTACGGAGATCAGGAAAAAGGAATGAGCAAGTTTCCCGTTCCAGATGTTTATATTAAGCCAAGACTGCATACTGCTTAATTTCCTCTCTCATTTTTGAAGCCACTATCACATCATCAATTACTTTGCACAACAAGTTAACTAAAGAATGACTGTAGGAAGTGGACTGCATAGTTTGGGATGTTTTATCTTCTCTTTTTTTTTTTTACAAGCAAGTTTCATAGAGGCTGAAGTTAACGGCAAACAGTCATCTGCTTCATATTTTCCCATAATGTCAAACCTGTTAAGCTAAAGTGAAATATGTCCAACTCTGGGATTGCAAGTGAAGAATGTAGTTTGACCGTTTGCCGGTGTGTGACTGAAGTTTCCCTCGAAGGAAATCAATCATTTTACACTTTTACACTGATTCTCCAACCTCATGCTGGGGGTTGGGGGGGGGGGGGGCGCACACACATTTGGACGCTTTCACATGAGTTTCCGAGATCTTCCAAAAGACAAATTTATTTGTCTGAAACTGTCATTCCAGTGGACAGTGTCCCTCAGAGACTGACACTATTGCTCCAGTAATTTGTTATGCGACTGATACTGCGGCCCCCGGTGTTGTGAATGTACATTTCGATGAATGTTTCGTTGGTTGTAGACGCTCGGTGGTGGCACGTGGGTAAGCGCGCCATCAGTTACCACCATGTGCTCTGTCTTACTTTTCAGAATTGCTTCCAGTAAGCTTCAACCAAGAGCAACAATTAGCATGCACCTAAACCGAACTTTATATTCAAACTTTTTGCATATAGGTGTATACTGTGTACAATCTAGGATTTAGTTTGTACAGACTGAGATGTATGCTCTGATGGTGCTACTCTGAATGGCAGTCGCGCACTTTCTGACTGTGTGTGTGAGTGTGTGTGCGCGCGTGTGTGTGTATGTGAGAGACACAGAGAGAGAGCACGAGCATGAAAGAAAGCTTTGTCTTTTCCCCACTCCAACCCCACCTGACAACATGATAAAGTCACTGCACTGTCCCTTCTACTTTTCAGCACCAGTTATATCCTATTGTCTGCACTATGTTTAGCTTATCATTATTATTATTATTATTATTATTATTATTGCTATTATTACTATTGTTATTTTCTTAATTAGAGTTAAATTTAAATTAACTTATATTTTTTATACAAAGAAAAATAATGTTGGCCTTTTTTTGTTTTGTACAAAGTAAACATTAAGATAAATTAAACAGTCTAGACATGTTACTGTTACCAAGAATAACTGAGGAATGTCTTAACTGTACATGTAAGAGCAGTAGCCCAAATGACTTTTAATAAATACCTGAAAATACACCTTTGTGCCAGTTTATTCATTACCTACATACCTTTCTTTCTTGGGCCTGTTTCAATGATCAGTAACAATGCATCACCCCTGAATGGTCAGTAGCATCACCCTACTTTTTAATTGTTCTAAAAAAAAATGAAAAAAGAAAAGAATACTTTTTAATACTTTTGAGTTATTAGAAATTTCAGGAAATTTGTGAAATGGCCTCTTGTTTGCAGCTATAAATAAACTGAAAAGTAGAGTGTTTATCATTTATAGCATCTATAGCATTTCAGTATCAACACTTTATGGTAACTCTGTAATAATTACTGTATTTAATTCACTCTGTAATATCACTTTTGCCCTTTGAGCTGGTCAAACAAATGTAGTGAAAGAATACGAAAGTCGGCAAAATCTGAATGTCATAAATGTTTCTTTTAAGAAGATGAGTTCCTGAGATCTCCTCTTGGAATTCTGGGAGTGTGTATAGTTGTCTTATTGTGCTTGCACGACAAAGGCTTGCAGCTGACTGAACTAGTTTTGTAATAAAGCCTCATCCGCTGCCGTTATCATTCATGTTAACAATCGAATTTCTACAAGATGGCTGCCCAAAACTACAGATCCATCACTGTGTTAAACAGTTGGCAGCTGGTGCTATGGAGGGAGGGAAAGTTTAAGCACATTTGGATTGATGGAGTAAAAAGACAAAAAGATGACTCACTGTACAATTCTGTCTTACTTTCATATTTTTTCATATAATTATGTAGTATCTTTTTGGTGCCATTGCCTACTGACTATTAAAAAACATTTCTTTACAAATTCTCAGTAAACAATATGAACAATATTTAATCTGACTGCATTCTTCCCACAGAGATGATCAATTTAAATTTACATTTTGACTAAGGGAACTTAAATTACTTAAATTAAGTCATTGCTCAGACTAGAGATGGACTGTGGCATTTCATATGTGAATAGTCATTAAATAAACCTCTAATGATAACATTTTACATGTTGAGGTAGTGGACAAAATAAGAATGCAAATGAATGCAAAACGTTGTTGCAACACAACCATATTAATGTACAATAAAATACATTACAGTTTTTTATTCATGTTCAATTTTGCCATCTGTGTATTCTGGTGACTTGAACCCTGAGTCCATGTTTCACTGTTTTTCTCCTACTCCCTCAGGACCCTGTGTTTAATGCACATAATAACCCACTTATTACAAAGAACCAGGTGAAGATGAAGTGAAGAGTTTGAATAAAGTTTTTACAAGTAACAACATTTCCCCATTTCACAAAGATTTGTATTAATTTTTCGTTCTGTGCAGGAACATATGTAGTATTTATTGAAGAGCACTGGAGTTCTTATCAAATAATGAAACAATTTTTTTTTTATAGATGTAAATGTTTTTAATAGTTTCCTTCTTTGAATATAAGTAAGCTGATCCCATAATTGCGTTAATGTTTAGATATCTATGAACACAAACTTACTTAACGCATAGAGTACTCTACAATCTCACTCCAGCTGTTTTCTTCGTCAGGTCCAGGTGAGGACTAGCGCCTGAAAGCTCACGGGTACGATTATTATCGGGACACTGAACGCAGCACAAACATTACGCACTTCGATCACCTTGGCAACCGAGTGAAGCACAGACTGCTGCGGCCATGAAGAAAGTTTGTTTTCTGTCCTGAGCCTGTCCAAATTACAGTTAGCTAACAGGTGAGGTCATTAATGAGAGTTTATTTCATTCTGTTATCCTGCAGCACGATCTTTAGTAAATAAATTAATCACGTGAATGTGAGGCACTAGTAGTTTTGCTATAAGCGTAAACTCTCTTTGAATTATTTGTGCAGTGTCTGGATTTACCATAAAATTTAAGTCATTTTGATTTCGTTTGAGAGAAAAATTCCTTTTTAGGGTGCATTTCTATTCACCAGAAAGAATAACGAATGTTTTTAATATTTTAAGAAATTGTACACCTCTTGAGATAATTAGATATTATTACTCGTATGTCTTTAAAACAACTATACAACAATAAGTTGGCCTTCACAGCCATGTCCAGCAGTGTGAAGCCAAAGCCTGGGCGCTATGGGAGTGATATCCACAGACTGCTGCTGGCGGCTGAAGCCGGGCAGAAGGCTGATATCCTGGCCTACTCCTCGGGTCATCTGGGGCCTCGCAGCCTGAACCAGAGTCAGCCTCAAGAGGAGACAAAGTCGGTTTTTTGGAGGATGTCTCAGAGCCAAGAAGAAAGTCGAAACCCACTATCTCTCCAGCAGATACAGACAAAGGCAAAAAAGAATGAAATGAAAGAGTTCCCCCCTGAGCTCACTTCTGGCACAGCTTTAGTAGAGCCTAGAGTCTTGGGGTACACACAAGATCATACATCACATCCTGAAAGAAGAGAACATATAAGTCTATCTCATATAGTTTACCGTCCCTCAAGGACTTTGCCTGTCCAGCAGAAAGCTTGTTCTCAGAAAAAAACTAAATCTCCATCTGATCTGGGGGTAAATCATCATTTCACATTGAGCCGTTCTGACCAGGACAGCCTGAACAACCAAAACCAGCAAGAGAAGAAAAAATGCTTTGGCTGGCAAGTCATGGCCAAACCGGACCTCTGGGCTGTAAAAAATGTTGCTGAAATGCATGCAAGGAAACTGCAAGAGGTGAGGATTGTGACACAAACCATGACATCAATAAACTGTCTGTAATTGCTTTTTTCTTTCTTTTTTTGCATTTTGCATGATATAGTAAACCTAAAGTGCTCTCTGAACACAGGGTAAAGACATGCACAGACTTCAACATGCATACACTCTAACACACTTTTAACCTGCTAATATTGTGTGTGTGGTCTTGTGCGCAGGGGTTGATTAAGTTGTCTGCGCAGAGCTGGCCCAGCAGAGACCGCCTTGCGGTGTTCAGTGACGTCTTTGATGATGTATGTGAAGACTCGCCAGTGTTTGGACGCATCCTGAGGGAAATTAAGGTTTTTCCATTTCCTCTGTACCCACCAGCTCATTTTTAGCATGTACCGACAGATGTATTAGAGCCAAGAGAGAGTGAGTCCCTGGAGTAGCAAGTACAAGTAGAGCAGCCACTGGAACCTGGTCGCGATGCATCAGAGAGGAGGTCATCAGAGGGCGATGGTTCCATTACTGCTCATTCATAACGAATGCCTCAAGTTTCTTTTGCACATGATAGTTTTGCTTAGACTGTCAGTAAAAAGACTTCCCATGCTGCAGTTTGCAAAGTGCACAATTTTACTTTTCATGCAGCTGAAATCCTTTTTTTGTTATTATTAAACATGGTAGTAAGCTGCAGTGCATACAATTTCTAAAATCTTTTTCTGAAGGATTTTCTACAAGGACATTTTTTTAAATCAACATAATTCTCAGTCTGTAATAAAGCTTTCTTTTCTCTTCCAGACAGAATATGATTTATACGTCAACCACCTGATGAGTTTGCAGTCCTCACCACGCAGCCTGGTAAGGAACACTGCCCAAAGACACACATACTGAAGATATAACCTGAGAAATGACTGTGATATTCAGACATTTTTGTGTCAAAGACATTCATTCATAGTGTTCCTATACAATATATTCTCATGCTCATTTTGCCTTTAAAGAATGGAAATTGTTTTACATAAAAAAGGAAAACAACAGTGCTGATATTCGTAGATTTCCTCACAGTACAAAGAGTCAAAGATGCCGCTTGTCACAGAGTTCGTTATTTGATTTTGTGGGTATTTTCAGTCCCTTGTCTACAGTTAATGTTTCTTTAAAAAAAAAAAAGCCTACACGTATTTCTAAACAAGGTTTAAACAGTAAATATTTAAACTTCCCACAGAGAAGGATAAAACCTTTAGTTCTTCAGCAGTAGCCAAATTCAAATTCAAATTTTATTTGTCACGTACACAGTCATACACAGTACGATATGTAGTGAAATGCTTGGACAACTGCTCGTGACCTAAAGAGAACAAAAAAGGAAAAGACTATGAATAAGATAGGAAATAAATATGAAAAATTAAAAAGGGTAAATTTAACTAAGAAGGAATAAAATATAAATTAAGGTTAAAAATGAAATAACTGTACAACACAAATTAGAATGAAGGGTAAATTTAACTGGGAAGGAATAAGATAAAATATATAAATTAAAGTTGAAAATAAAATAACTGTACAACAAAATACACAATATAGAACTATATAAGAATGTATGAAGAAATCTAAATATAAATAAATATATACACAATAACAGCAGCTACTAGCTACTAGCAGCATTAATCTCAAGCATCTTTTGCTTTTTTGGAAAATAATTTAGGTCCTAATGTTTTGTTCTTGCTTCAGTCACCGAATACTTCACTCAAAGTAAGCGAAACCAAGTTGGACGATGCTGAAAAGGAGGTTTGCAGGCTGGAGCATGAGGCTAGAAGAGCTCTAGAGGAGAAGAAACGGTACCACAAAACAAAGTATCAACAGCAGGCTTGTACTTATGTACATTCTCTTTAGTTGAAGTGTGTTTGTCCTTTCAAACCTCAGGGTCCAAAATGAGTTACAGAACATTTCAGCTGCCATGCACCCGAAGGACAGTTACAAGAAAAGTAAGTCTTAAGACCTTAACATATTTTTTGTACCTTATTGTTAGTAAACAGTTAATTTTCTATACAGCATGCTAAGTTTTAGATATATCTGCGGTCTTTAAGAGTGAACAAATAATCACTTTTTGGTGCCAACAGTCATAACAAACAACGTTGTAGTGTCAGTGGTCACTTTCTAATCCCAGCAGGGATGTCTTCATATGCAGTTAGGATCACTATCGTTATGAATGTCATAGTAATTCAGACCTTTTAATGAATGAAGCTTTTAGACCATAATTTTAATTAGGTTGAGGTCAGCGTTTTGGGAATGCCGTTCCAGAATGTTTTAATGTTAACCTGCTTTATCCACTCCAAAACCAGTTTTTATGTGTCTTTGAGATCATTGTCCTGTTGGAACACCCAGTTGTCTCCAAGTTTCAGTCATCTAGCTGTTGATTTGAGGTGAAGTTGAAGAATTTGGATTCCTTCCACTTTGTTTAATGTGTCAGTACCCCTGGCAGTAAATCAGCCCCAGAGCCAGATCCTACCGCCACCATGCTTGGCAGCTGATACGTGTTTTTAGCTTTGAAAGCCTCCTTTACTCCTCCGAACATACCTCTTGTCACCATGGCCAAATAGCTCAATCTTTGCCTTCTCTGACCATAAAACTTTTCTCCAGAAGATTTTTGACTTGTTCATGTAGACCGCTGCACATTTTAGTCAAGCCTGAAGAACTTCATTTTGGTGCAAAGGCTTCTTTCTTGTTGAGCACCCTCTTAGTCCATAGTAATGACGCTATTCCAGCATTTCCCAGCGTATGACAAGCTTTAGTCTTGGCAGTTGTTTGGTTGTCTCTGAACATCCTAATTTCTTCCCATCTGAGGGTGACAGTTTGGCTCTTCTTCCAGACCTTGACAACATGGTGCCACATCTGCATTACTTGTGCTTTTTCTCATTCTTCTCAGTGTTGGTCAATCCATTGACTACTGTCAAAGGATTTTTTCTATGCTGGCAAAGAGAAATTACCAGTTGTAGTCAATCATCACTAGCAAGAAGTTAATGGACCATGTCAAGTTAAAAGACATTGTAGAACTTTTAGCACCACATATTAAAAGATTTAAGTGAATGTTTGTATATTTTTGAGTCTGTATGTGTGCTTTTGACCCTGTGTAGATTAGAGAAAATCCAAACTTCTGCACCAAATTCTTGTTTTTTTAAGTCATTAAAGATGTATGCTTTACAATCACGCCACCCTGGTGGAATTGTAAAGCATCTCCCATCTGTAAACAACAATTCAAAGAAATTAAGCCCAAAGTTACCATGGCATTCATGCCCATGATGAGTACGCATCAATTCTTATCAGTTCTCTATGCATTGCATTCATGTTCACCTCATCTGTGTTTGAACAGATACATGTCGGTCAGGGCTGCAGGATACTGTGAGTGTCTCTGGCTATTCTGACAGCATCCAGTTCAAGAGGCTTCAAGTAATGAATGTTTGGAAGGAAATCAAACAGCTGGAGGAAGAGCTAGAAGAGAAGTTGGTGTCCACTGTTACAACCACAGCTACTAAAGGACATATCAGAGACCAACAGGTGCTACATTTGGCCTCATTTCACACTGGCTTATAAAGGCATAGCTCAACTTGTAAATCACACTGAGCAAAGTTAAGAGTTTAGCAAGAAATGTGCTTTTTGCCTGTTTGTTTCCAGACTGAAATATTGAAGCTGATAGCCTCAAATGAGCATCTAAGGGTCATTAGCAAGGTATGAGAGGGGGGTCTTTTTTAGCATGTTTTTTGTTTGTCTGTTTGTTTGTTTTTAATTGCAGGTATTAGATATTTCAAATGTATGTTTACTATGTGAGAGTCAGATGTGCTGTCTTTTAAGGATCTTGAAAACAACATCAGCGCAGTGCTGAACAAGGAGAAAGCAAGCAAGGCCATAAGACGGTATGTGGAACAGTGAATATGTGGCACTTGATTAGTTTGTGACCATTTTTACTTACTTCGTCTTGCTATGCTGTGTTTTACCACAGGATTTTGTGGGATGAAATACACCAAGATCTACAAGCAGAGTGAATGGCGTCACCAGTCGCCATAAGGCGGTGGCAGAAGTGTTTGTGTGCATGAACTTGTTAAAAAATCATCTGGTCGCCCCAGTTTCAAGTATGGAAAATCATAGCGCGCTAAAGTTAATAACTTAGAAACAAATCTTTCGTGTGTTATTGTGTTATTGAATAGACCTATAATACATTCACTGTGCTGTGTGACAAAATTAAGTGAACTCTCAGATTTGGTTAATAGTTGAACCTCGTTTTTGGCAGTAACCTTCACCTTGTGGTCATTTCATTCTACCTGTATTCTGTTAAGGCCTGAGCTCTGACTCAAGCAAAATGCAGATTTTTTTTTTGTTCTTTAACAGACTTAGTTCAACTACACTCACCCTCATCATGCACCATGCTGTCGATATAGCTGACTCATAATCAGAGATGTTAATCAGATCACATCTGGGAACTGTCGACAACAAAACAGTGCAGCGTTATTAGTTAGAAAATATTTGTTCCCAGCTGTAGCGTGCTGCAAATGCTACTGTGGGTAAACAAACTACTAGTATCGGAAAGCAAACAATGACACCATTTTAAAATGCTTCACTCCAATCCTGCATTCTAAGAAAAAGCACAAAAATATTAACACAGTGATATTTAAAATCCTCCTTATGAGTATTGTTTTGTTATATTTACTGATGCTTTAGTCTAGCAGTAATTTTTAAAGCTTAAGTGTTAAATAAGATACAATAACATAACACGTATACTGTATATATAATGCTATGTGAGTGTATAAGAGTTAGTCATGCGTTGCATAAATAAACTAGCAGTGTAGCATCCATCTAAAATATAAACATAAAGTAATGGAATAACTGGGAGCAACCTACTCTTCAAACACTAGAGGGCAGCAGAGACTTTTGAGAAAATTGTGTCAGCAGGAAATTAAGACGCCTGCACTAAAGCAAAATTCCCATATTGCTTTTACTGTGTAACTGAAAAGATTTGCTTAGTATTCTTCACATAGTGATGTTCCAGCTGAGCCGCGGAACTTTTTTACTCTTGAAATCATAACATAACATAAACGTTCATGCTGTTATGCTTCCACTCTCTTATGTCACATTAACAGTAGTTTGCCTCTGTTCTTATTCAGGGCTGAAGTGTCTGTGTGTAACCTTTATCAAAAACAGTGAAGATAGTCTAGGGGTTTGTAATGTCTTGAGAAATGTCAGCATGGATAGGATTTCTATTTAATGCTGTATTTCCTTTAACGGGGTATTAAATATGTTGCGTTAACGGGAATCCTAAAGAGATTTTCCTCTAGGTTCAATTCCACATGACTTAGCAAAAAAGAAAAAGAAATCCAATTATAACTGTGTGCAGAAAGCCTTGATGACAGTACTCATTTGATAAATAATCACAGAGAATTAGTGTAATCATTGAAGCTTTTCTTTGGATTGATAGAGGGTGACCTTTGCCCCTGACATGAGGGAATGCTTTGCTGTCTGCCGGAATCTAATCAGAGGTCAAAGTCTTCGCTCTGGATGACAGAGTCAGTCGGGGCAAAGTGTGTTTTTGTCCCTCACAGTCTAAGCTCTTCCCATCCTGTTACTGACGGCTCACTTCTGCTTGGATTGTTGCCACTTCGACACCATGCTGCTTCGGACTGTTGTCCTGCTCCTCCTCTGCCTGTCCACAGGGACGTGTGCCACTTTAGGCTACTACCAGACTGACGCAAAGGAGGACGGAGGCCCTGCTGCTGAGTCAGTTGTCGCTGCCGAAGATGCCTCTGTTGACGTAGCCAAAGAAGGTGTCACTGCTGTTGAAGTAGGTGATTCATCTTCAGCTGAGGCAAACGCAGGTAACAGCGTTTTTGGTGACAAACCGCTGCGTGAAATAGGTGTGAAGGGTAGCCAATCAGGTGACAAACATGAAGAAGATGTCCAGGTGGTAGCAGAAGGTGCTACAGTCAAAGAATCAGTGCCAGGCAGTGATGGGCCTCCTGGAGACAGCCCTGCTCTGAAAGCTTTTACTAAGAGCCTGGAACAACCTTCTTCTGGGGAAGAGGCGAATGAGATCAGACCAGTTCAGACAAACAAGTCCCAGAAAACAGCACAGGAACAAGAAGACAGCAGCTGGGGCCTCAACTCTATTAGAAATCATTTCCAGACTGCGCACGGATACTTCGACTCCCTGGTGGAACTGGTCGGTGGACACAATGGTGTTTGTGAGTACCGCTGCAGAAGATATGGTAAGAATCCATCTTAAAATTCTCTGTTCAAGTTCACCGGTCTTTAAGGGATTTTGAGAAGAGTTTTTACACATTGTTGTTTTTAGCTTCCCCCCAAAAAATGTTTCTGACCCTCAGCAGATTTTCAAATGAACTTTTAGATCCGATTCCACTGCTATCAATCAATCAATCAATCAATCAATCTTTATTTATAAAGCACTTTTCATACAAAAAATGTAGCACAAAGTGCTTTACATAGTTAAAAGCAGCCCACTCCACCCTCCAACTCACTCCCCGCACTCTCATTAACATAAATGATGTGAATACATACATATCTTCCCCCCCCCCCCCGCCCACCCACACGCACACTTAATGTAGAGTAAAAATTGGGCTGGGTTCACATGAGCCAAGTGAGGAAACACTATAACAGGGAGCCGTCTGCACCAAGAGCCGGTCACAGACCGCAGCCTCCAGGCACACAGCAGGAGGGAGGCAAAGGAGCCCCCCAGCCAGGCTGAGAGGACCCCCAGAGACCCAGCAGCCACGGTCAATCACAGCCCCGGTGCAGAGAGCCCCCTCCGAGGAAACACTGGAGATATGCCACAATAGGCTATATACAGGGTAAAATGATAAAATAAATAAGAACGGGTTACAATATAAATATAAATATAAATAGAGTAAGAAGATTAAAAAATGGATAAGAATAAAATCAATAAATATTAGGTAAAGCCTGAATTAATAATAAAATAACAGGATAGAATAAATAAGCATAAAATAAATAAACGTTAAGTAAAAGCTAAATTAAAAAGGTGGGTCTTGAGCCTGTTCTTAAAAACATGTACGTTCTCTGCGGCCCTGAGCTCCTCCGGCAGGCTGTTCCACAGACGAGGACCATACCACTGAAACGCTGCCTCTCCGTGAGTATGTGTCCTGACTTTAGGGACAATCAAAAGGCCAGTACCAGAGGACCTCAGGGTCCGCGAGGGTTCGTATGGTAAAAGCAGATCTGAGAGATAAGAAGGCCCAAGACCATTAAGACATTTAAAAACCAATAAAAGAACTTTAAAATCGATCCTGAAACACACGGGGAGCCAATGCAGCAATTCTAAAACCGGTGTAATGTGGGCCCGCCCTCTGGTCTTCATCAGCACACGAGCTGCAGAGTTTTGTAAAAGTTGTAAAGTTGAAATATTCTTCTTAGGAAGACCAGAGAGCAGGGCATTACAGTAATCAATACGACTGGTAATAAAAGCATGCATCAGCATCTCTGTGTTGGCCTGAGAGAGAATAGGGCGGACTCTGGCTATATTTTTTAGATGATAAAATCCAATTTTGGTCACATGTTTAATATGTGGGATAAAACCAAGCTCAGAGTCAAAAATAACACCCAGGTTTTTCACTTGTAGCGAAGGACATAGTGAAAATGCCTCTAATTTAGACAAGAGTTTCTCTCTCTGAGCCTCAGGACCGACGATCAGGGCTAAAGTACTTCTTTATTGATCCAAGATAACATGCCTGGGCCTCAGGCTTCTTATACCGAAACCTGAATGCATCTGTTTATCAGTGGGAGTTTAGCTTTCCCTCGTCTCAATCATCCATATACATGTTCTCAAACAGAAGGTATATCTTATCTGTGAAATGATACACACCTGAGGATGAACAGGAGCAACTCATGAAATTTGTTTGCTAACGCAGTCAAGTTCAAGACCTAAATGAAGCTTCCATGTTTTCTCAGGAGAACTTCCTCAACCTCGTCCTGGCTTCCAGCTCTCAGAGCCCAACGGCTGCAGCACCTCTCTGGTGGGATTCCAGGTGAATGCTGCTGTAGGTTGCCTGTTCATAGCACCAACAGCTTTCAAAGCAATATCATTAACAACCTTAATGGCTGTAAAAGCCACATGTTCGGTTTGAGCAGACTGTGCTGACACAATCTATCTCTGACAGCTTGACCTAGGGATCCCTGCTATGACAAAGTGCTGCAACCAGCTTGACATGTGCTACGAAAACTGCGGTACGAGCAAGTACGACTGTGACTCCAGGTTTCGCTCGTGCCTGCATGGCATCTGCTCTGACCTTAAGAAGAGTCTGGGGTTTGTTTCGAAAGTGCAAGGTGAGATATTTAACTTTCCCCTCTTCCTGCCTGTGCATAGCCACAAGTTGTCAAAGAAGAAAAAATAAATTAATCAGCGTCCCTCCTCTCTCATATTTTTTTCTCCTAGCCTGTGAATCGATGGCAGACGCTCTCTACAACACAGTTTGGACTCTTGGTTGCAGACCTTACATGAACAGCCAGAGGGCAGCGTGTGTCTGCGAGGGAGAGGAGAGGGATGAACTGTGACACAGAACACTATGGACATCATCTGTGTGCTTTTGAAGACAACTAACAGAGTCATATTTTCACACGCATAGCGTGCATTTATAGGCTTCTTTTTTTTTTCCTTCATAGACGAGATGCCTCACAAGAGCCCTCTCAAGATTCAGAGGCCAGAGATTGAAAAAGACATAAAAGAGGAATTTAAGTGAACAATTTCTTTGGATTTATTCACAATTGTTCGTGCATATTCACTCGCCATGCTCCTCATTTTAGGCCAATTGACTCTATGACTCCATTACCATAAATTACTTGATGACTCCAAACAAAGTGTGTGACGGGAAGATAGAAAGGATACTGTCACCGGATTAATTTCCTCTAGACAGAAAGACACCAGATAATTACTGTGGTGCTCAAGGCTCCTTGTGTGCTGCTATCTTAAATTTGTCAAGCTGCTCAAACCTTAAGTCAGTGTCATGTAAATCTAATGCCTACTATGTTAATGCTTGATGTAAGTTATTTGCCAGTTATTTGTTATGTTTATGAATACATTAAAGACTAATTGCAGCTAAACTGACACGATTAACTCCAGATTAATTGTCGGAGTGATGAAGCTTATGCATAATTTCCAGACGCGGGGTTCTGATATTTCTTTCCCAGCACACTGTGATGTGTGGCGTGCTCCTCATCGATTACACCAAGCAAATGAGTCAGAACGCATCTTATAGATGTTTTAGATGGGGTGGGGGGTTTTTTAAGTTGGAGATGGGGTGAGAAATAAACCACTTCCATAAATCCACTAAGTCTCTAAGCTGTAATCAAGCCTGGGAAATGCCTGAAAGTGTGACCCAGAAAATCATCTCTCATGTTGTAGCTGTTATGAGTGATGTGTGGCGCCTTTCTCGCTTTTTAATCGAAATGTCATTCACTTTAATGTGCTGCAAGTCCAACAGACGAAAACTTGTTATGATGTGTTAATGAGAATAAAAGTTATCTCCAACAATATAAATAACAGCAGAAGGAGGATATACTGTATACACATATATACAGTGCGCTTGGCTTCTTTGTGTCTATGTCTACATTTATTTACTCTCCGGATTACCAGATCAACTGAACTGGACGATTCCTTTTTAAAGGGGTTCCATCATGCTTATGTCCATCTCTATATTTTTATTTTTGGACTCTACTAAAGCTGCTCAAAATTATCCTTATTCATCTTACAACTGGCCTTGGTGCCAATTGTCAGTTCAAGCTGTTTTAACTCCTCTTTCTTTAAACCATCTTTTTTCTGCTTGGCTTCTTCTCAAAAAAAAAAAAAAAGTGGGTGTAGAAGGTGGGTGAGGTTTTCTTATAGCCAGAGCTGGGTATCCCTTTCTTTGACATCTTACAAATTACAAGAGTACAAAACAAGTCTGAAACTGAATGTTCAGCACAGTCTAAGATCTGAGCTTTTGGCTCATAAGGATTACGTGCACAAACACTGACACGCTGACTTTATTATCTCAAACTCTACGCATGTTTAATCTGGAAAAGCACCACTCAAATAGTGTACGAATGACAGAAAGTGAGAAAAACCATAAAGTGTTCACTTCAGTTTAAATGCAACTGTGCTGATTGTTTAATTTCATGGTTTTTTTGTTGATGTTTGTGTTGATAGCATTGTATAATTGCCATGATTAAGGCAGGATAATGATGGGGCCTGCGCTCAATGCGTGCTGCTCCTGAGGTTCATCCGTCTGAACCTCCCGTCGGACGCGTCCCCGACAGCGCTGAGCACAGCGGGAGTCTCCTGCCCGGCACACTAGCACCTGGCAGTGCAGGAACACTTGCTGTAAACAGAGGAAGCAAGCTTGTTTTGATATTTTGAGACTGCCTTCACAGTGTAAAGGATTCTTCTAATTCACATGGTCTATTAATACAGTCTTTGCAGTATAGAGCTATGCAGGCATAAGTCCACACACATTCGCCAGCT